AAGACAGAAATTCCCATGTTCCTTCAGGCTGAGCAGGGATGCCAAGTATACAGATTTGGAAGCTGTCTATCAGGGGTTTTTTATTTGCTTGATATTGAGCAGACAGCAGAGACAAAATACCAAAAATGCTTGAAATCCTTATGACCTTTCACTGCAAACTGTGAACTTTGTCTGCCAAACTCAAATTTCTGTTTACACTGTCAGCAGAGGCTACAAGCTGTTGCCTTTTCTTTGTCTTTTCAGTTTGTCATTTATCAAGGGACAGCTTCACAAACACTGCACAGGAGGGGGGACCTGAGCACACACCAGACCTTTTGCACATTCAAAATATTTAGTCTCCATTCTGTGGATTGCTTAAAAATGGCTCTAATGCAAGGAAAGTAGCATGAAATATGCTGTTTGCACCCAAAGCAGAAAACATTCTATAAAAAGTCTTAGCTTTGCCATCAGCTGGCATAGCTCATATGCCCAAGTTGTGTCCCGAATCCTTGCTGCTGCACAGCTGACTCCATTTACACCATCTTCCATTAAGACAGGAACATACAGGTGACTGCCGACTAAATGGTCCAAAATACATTCAGCAAAGAACTGCATCGCCTTCTTAAATGAAATATCCCTGATTTCAGCCTTGTGCTTCAACATTCATCCACCCTTGTAAATGAGGAGCTAGACTGTTGCAGAGAACAAGTGCAAAGGACATTTCAGATGTATAAAGTAGAAACTGTGAGAGTGAGTAGAGGGAGTAGAAAAGTGAGGGTGACTGAACACTGGCATCAGTTGCCAGGGAAGTTGTGGAGTCTCATCATGGGAAATAATTCAAACGTTTTCTGGACATGGTCCTGGGCAACCAGTCTAGGTGTCCCTGCCTGAGCAGGGGGATTGGACAAGGTAACTTCCAGAGGTGCCTTTAGACCTCAACCATTCTTGTTCCTATGGAAGACTACCGTGAACTGTAGTATTTGTTGCTATTTGCGTAACTTTGCCAATTAAAACAGGACAGCCTAATAAGTTATTTAAATAAACCAGACAGCTACAGAAAATTCCTTTGAAACTAAATAGAAGGTTGAATTATATACCAAATGTTTTAGGTGAACTCTTAGTATTAGATGGGTAATTATTCTGACTATTCAAATATTTAAAGTATTTCAAATTTCATTTCACACTGTGGTAGCATTCCTTGAACTTTACAAGGCAAAGGCATTAATAGAGTTGTGTCTGAACTCTTTAGGGTCTAGAAAACTGTCTTAAAATGAGCCATTTCCTGAGAGACTTCTGCACAGAAAATACATTGGTGTTTCCAAAAGAAACTGAGTTCACAAGGAATCATTTCATTGGTACATTTTGTTAATGAGGCTTTTGAAAGAAGACCTTTCACTTAGTGTTACTTTTTCCTGAATGTGAAAGCTATGGAAAATGTGTGGAAAACATTGGCAAAGTGAAGATGGCAGCTGTATGCTCTATATGTTACTGTTAATGAGTTAGTGGTTAATAAACCATATGCTTTAGCATATAAACAGGAGGATTTATGCATAATGCAAAACCTATAAGAACATTTATTGTTTGGTATAACTGTTTCCCAAATCAGAGAGGCACATTGTTCCAGTCTTCCACAAACTTCCCATTACTAGACTAAAAATCTGCTGCCTACTGCCTTCAAGTTCTTTTCATGTGAGTTGGTCTGGGGCATAGGGGGACTCGGAAGCAGAGAATTTAGTGAGCAGCAGGTTCCTCAGATCTCTGCTCTGCACAGCCTGGGATCATAAACTTATCACCATCATTACTAACAGCAAGCAGGAGGATTCTATACAACATCCCCAATTCTAATAATTCGTGGAGGCAAGTTCCTCCTGTTCTTTTTATGTGTTCTTCTGTACTGGAGCTTTTTGTGTCAATTATCACTACTAAAGCCCTAAACAAGCCCCTTTTCTTCAAAACACAGACAAAAGTAACCATTGGGTTTATTCACAATAATGCTTGGATTAGTTAAAGAAACCACATTCACCAACAGGTAAATTTCTAAGCTATTGAATAACACTGCTATGTTTGGAAAAGATTTTTCTTTTGTAATTCTCCTTTAATTTCCTCCCATCCAAAGCTGCTGTGAGGAGTCTGAAGCTAGGTTTTCATGAGTGAGTGAAGGAGTCCAGCAACTGACTCCTATTTAAAATAAATGGTCCTGGAAATGTAAGGTAACATTTCCATAAATACTTGAGTAATTTGAGGTTTAGGTTCCACTAAAAGTCTTCCAGTATTTCCAGCTCCCCAAGTCAGACAGGGAAAAGGCAGACCAGTAAAATGATCCTTGCTATCAGATAAGCAGGGATTGAATGGAGGCACATAAAGCACAAGAAAATGAGGAGGAAACTGTGGACAGAGGAGATGCCTATGTTCAAGAGGTTTATACAATGAGAGGCATAAAAGGCAGTTCAACAGGAAAAAGGATAGACAGAAAAAATATCAGACTATATAAACAGAAACATTACTTTCAGTCACTTAGGTTTGCTTTGGATTTTGAGATACGACCTCAGTGAATCCACATAAAATTGCATAACTTTATAATCTGACACAGTGCCTCTGAATTCAGCATAGTTTTCTTTTTTTTATTTTGCTTCCTGATCAGATTAGAAAGTGTCTGAAGTCAAGCTGTGCATTCTGGTAACCCTTCTGAACAGTTTTGCTTTCTTCATTTCAATTGCTGTCTTTCAATTAAAAAATATTATTAAAATACCACTTTTGGGTGGGTAGTGACTACCACGACACTGTGCAGAAAACCAAAGCAATTTGAAGCAAGCTTGACATTCTAAGTATATTTTTAAAATACCTTATTGCTTAAATAAAATAAAATCCTTAGTCTAGCAATTACTTTCAGATGTTTGATTGTTTATTTTTAAAGAACTGTCATGTCAACCATATAGAACTGACAAGAACTATTTTGATATCTTCATGAGTTTTCTCTAACATCTGCTCCCCTCCTTATGTCGGGAACTGTATACTCATCTTCATTGTCTCTTGTATTTATCTTAATTTTGCTGTATTTTATTTTATTATTGGAGGAAAAACTTCACAGAGCTGTTTGTGACAAGACGTAGTTACAGGAAACCCAACAGCTAAGCCCCAGTTTCAGCTGAGACAATTAGACTGTTGATTTTGGTAGCAGCTCAGGACTTCTATTTGACCCAAATGCCTTTTAGATCTATCTGCCAGCTGATGATCAAGTCTGAAAATTTTCTGTATTCTTGCTACAGATAGAGGGCTTTGTTTCCTTTCCATTTGAGGTATATTTCTATCCAGATCTGAATGTTTTGCTGAAATTCTTCTCCATTCACTGGAACAGATTAAAAGAAAAAAAGGAAATAACAATATTTTCCAGAACTTTCAACCTCTTTTTAAGTTTGTCTTCCCTTTAATTCTCTGTTCCTTGATATCTGTGAATTGTTGAGGACAGTGTTTTTCTCAAAGCAATTTTGCCACTCATGAAAAGTAGTGGGTGCTAATTTGTAATGCTTAAATTAACTGTTGCTTTTTTCTGTCTAGCAGCTATATTTAATAGCTTATATTACTGTTTCACCTGTTGTAATAAAGGACTCTAAACCACTGAAAAACTCAATACTTTTAAAAAGTGATCTAAATTATGTAACACCAGAAGATATTTATTGAAAGATTTGAAGAAATTACTAATGAACAGAGCAGTGCTGTTACACTGTCTTTTCATCAACTGCTACAGAAACTTCACAGCTGAATTATCAAAGTCCACTGCCATTCTTGGATGGATGTTTTCTTAAGTGGATGGGCTCTAAAACTTTATGGATGCTCTGGGAGAAAGTAGAAATGGAGAAGTGTTTTATTCTCTGTCAGTAGTTTGTGGGCTAGAGTCTTGAGCATTTTTTTTTCTCTTTTTGTTCCTTTTTTCTCTTGTTAGACTTTTCTAGCAGCTGACGTAGGGTAGGTCACAGCAGCTGATGCTGGGTGAAAACAGTTACCAGGGACAGCTCCAGCCATGGAATGGCGAGAGATCCTAAAATCCTGTCACTGCACCAGTCCTCCCCACAGAGTTCATAGTTCAGAGCTCCCCAGTGGGTTCCCATGTTTGTGTGACTCTGCTGGTTTTTCATCTCAGACAAATTGCATATGACTTCCCCGCAAGCGAGAAAAGCTACTGAATGTGGCACTCATCCTCCTTAAAATATGTCCAGAAAGTCTGAGGGATTTCCATGATTAATTCTTACCATGTGGATTCTTTCAGTTAATTAGCTTTCTAGAAACCGAAACAGTGCAGGACACTACTGTAATGCAACTTGTTAAGCAATAATGCGTTTTTTCTTCCAGAAGTTACACTTGATAACAAACAATACTCATAGGCATAAGATGACCGTGGACAGTATGAGCTAATGTCTCGTCAGAAAATTTCCATTAAGGCTTGGAATCATGTTTAACATATTCTTCTCATTACTGAGCTAAACTAAACATTGTATTAAGTATGGATTTCTCAATGAATGTTACTGCTGTATATTTTAGCAGGTACATACATCTGGAAGTGGACACATGTACATATGCATTTTGGGGAACAAAAGCACATCAACAGCGTGGCTCACTCTAGTTCCAAGATAAAACCAAGCTTCTTTACAGAAACACAAATATGCCAAATGGCATACATGTTCTCTCCTATCAAACAACTGAAATGGAGAATGGAGAATGACTGAAAGGGTAGATTTCTTTGTCTATGATAAAAAGTGCTGCTGAGGATGATCACCAAAATTTATGTACCGAATAATTTTCCACTCAAAATTCAAAAGCTTTGGTGTATAGCAAACACTTGAATAACTTATCAAATCCTGTGTAGGTGATGGCTTTAAGACAACTTCAAAGTTGTCTTAAAATGTCAACGTTGTCTTAAGTTGTCAACATTTTAAACTGTTGTGCTTTGTTTTTGGCATTACATAGAACTCACTTAGGACTGCAAAGCTTACATTACAAAAGCTTACATTACAAAGCTTACTTACATTGAGGTTTTGGGACAGGGCAGAAGATGGACAGGTTGGTTGCTTTTCCCACTAAGAGACACAGATTTCCTGATTGTGTTAGGCCCAGTGTTACTTTGTTGATTTTAGGTTGGTCCTAGGGGAAAAGAAAGCTTTTAAGAAATGTATGAGCAAATAATCCTTTTTTTACCCCCCCCAGAAACATCAAGAACCATTAGTCAAAATTTTTAAACATAGTGGCTTAACCTAGTCTTTTAATTCCCTATTCCAGCTTCTTATTCAAGGTCTACTCTTCAGAAATATGAAAACCTGCCAACTCATTCACTCTGAGTAGCCTTTTTAGTTACTCAGTGCTTGTGAAAACTGATGTAGCAGTTTGACTATGGACCAAAAATCCTAGTGTTTGGTGTTTTTGTTGGCAATCCTGTAATAATTATGCCGTAAATCAAAAGATGGGTTTGGATTTCAAAAGTGCCTTGAGCCTTGTTCCCACCCTTCTACAGAGACACTGCATAACTTTTTCAGATTACAAGGTATAAAATTATCAGTCTGAAATACAAATGAAAAACTTTTACCTAATCTTGTATTTCTCCATGTGTGTCGTGCCCATGAAAATGTACATATAAACCCTTCCATGCAATCCATTAATAAAATCATTAGTTCCCAAGAGGCATTATGCTTGGAAACTACCAAAGTCCCAGGCATTACTGCACTCATAATGTGAGGATACTAACAAGGGGAGCCACAGACAATACAAGTGTTCTATATAAAATAAAATCTGCTTTTGTATTTTATATTCTGATCATTCTCACACAGCTGCTACCAAGTCCTATGTGCTTTGCCTGACACAAATCCCACTGACATGACTGGGAAGAGTCCCTGTGATTTGCTGGGTTCAGCTGCCATCGAGCCGTTTAGGGTTCATTTGTAGATGGAGAATTCTGGATGAGTGTGCTCCAGCTGGAGTGAGCACATGTGCGAGTGCTGTGCTGGATCAGAGCTGGGGAGGGCCCTGAACCCCTCTGCATAGCCCCTGCCCTCAGCTGCTCACCATGCACTGCACTTGCTGCTCAGCATCTGTCCCACAGGGAGCCATGGGCTCCAGCAAAACAGCTCATGGAAAAGCAGGGGGATCGCTTTTCCTGTGCCGATTTGCTTTGTGGTTGAAATGAGGTACTTGGCCTACATCTTCCCTGCCTGTGTTTTTCTCTCCAGAGCCACTGGTTTCCCACCAATCACAGTAACTCCAAGGAGCCAATGACACCCAAAGGTATCTCTCAATTTACGTTAAGCATTTTATCAGCCAGGGCAAAATGTAACTTCAAGAGCAGTAGCATGCAAATTCCAGAGCAGTAGCTCCTGACCTCTGCAGGGCTGTGCTGCAGCACTGCCCTGTACCCCAACAGCCAGTGGACCCCAGGCAGCCTGGCCACCAAGAGACCATGCAAACCTTAGGGGCAGGAAGCATTTGGAAAGGAAGGAGTACTGAGTTCCCAATGGAAACCGGCTTGACTGTTTTACCTCAGATTGAGTCAAGTCTGTTTGAAATGTGCCCACTACCCTATTTCATCTGAATGCCACAGCAGGGCTATTGTAAAGTCTCTCAAATCTGACAAAAGAACTAGTTAAATTATTCTCAGAACAGTTCATTTTAACAAAAGAGGCTTGAATTTTCTAGACAGCGGAGAGCTTTCTGCCAGAAAGGAGATCTCCAAAACTCAGCCCCGCTACCTCCATGTTGCACTGTTTCCACCCAGCCCCTGAGTTTCTGATTGCTGACTGGAATCTGTTTCTCCCTTCAGCTGACTCCAGCTGCCCACCTAGTCCCAGCACAGGCTCTGAGAGCTGCTGCATCATAGCAGCCAGGTAGGCACCTTCCCCTCTAAGTCCAAACCCCTTTCAGACAGAAACGGGCTGCTTTTCAGGCCTTTTGTCTTAGACTGGATTAGATTAATCATGACAAAGCTTTTGGGGTGCAGTTTAGGAGATATGTGATCATCTGGGGAACCAACAGGAGATAATGCCTGAGTAGCATGGATTATTTGCAATTTATTTCATCCAATTCATTTGAGCTGTACAAGGAAATGCTCATTTGCCACCTGAGAGGACTCTAAAAAAGCCTGAAGAGCAGAAACTGCCAATGTGTTATGCAGAACTTTGTTGTTATTTGCTTCCTAGTTTTCTGAAGAGTAGGTTCTCCTTGTTTATCCTGCCCAACAGGCCTTCTGCTTCAAAGGATGAGGCAGTAATTCAGAACACATCTACACCCTATCAGAACTTTTAGAGACACCTCTGTGCTCTGCAGTTCAGCTTGGGATACAAACTTTTCTACAACTTGCAGGTGTTTAAGGTTGGGGCTTTGGCTCAGGTTCTTGAGTGAATGAGGGGAAGTCACCAACTCAGAAGTAGCTTTGTATACTTAGCAAAATGGAAACCTGCCACACTGAAGGGGGGATGGCAGCTACTTTGCCTGTGACTGATGAGAGAGGGATTAGGCATTTCAGCCGAACAGCTCATTCCTGCCTCTTGTTTGTACCATCCGTGCTGGTGTTACTGCCTTTGTGGGATTAGGGAGAGGGTAAAAGAGTGCCAGTGTGTACCAGAGGACCCCAGTACAGCAGCAGCAGTCACATCTGTCCTTTTATCTGCAGCAGGATTTCTCTGCCTTTTTGCCCTGGTCCTGGCCTACTTCTTGTCCCTCCAAACCAGGACTGACCCCTACTTGACAATCAAGAAAGAACAGAAAAATGTATAGATGTTGATGTTGGAAACAATGGAAGTAAAGGGGAAGTCTCTGGGTGTCCTCCCTCTGAGGAGGAGAGAAATTAAGTAAAAGAAGGGTAACAAGGAGGAGAAGCAGCTTCATGAGCAGAAGAAGTGCCCTGTCTCCTTTAAACTTCCTCACACAGAGGCCACTCAATCTCCACTCTCACATCTTTCCCCATCCCACACCACCACTGCCACCCCTGCCTGCCTTGTCTGCTCCAAGGATGCCCTCAGCTGGGAGTTTGGTTTTGTTACCCAGTGTAACAAATAAAAGACAAATTCCAGTTCCAGTAGGTCATTCAACAGGCTCCCACTGATTTTTCTTAGGGGAACTCCTGGCCACTTTGAGATGCTTTCTTTAACATTCATCTATTATTATCATTATCATTATTATTATTATTATTATTATTATTACCCAGCTCTTTGTGTTCTGAGACCAATCACTTGATGTGCATTCCTACACTTCACTACTTTCAAAACTGATAATCTGTAATGGTGAGATAATTTCTTTCAACTTGAAAAAATATCTTGAAAGATTTCCTACTGGTACAATTGCTGACTTCCCTGTGTTATTCAGTCATGTGCAGATCCTGATATATAGATTGGAGAAATCCCAAGTACAAGCCATGATGTAAACAACTTGAAGCAACAAGAGTCTTTTTTTTGCTATGGAGAAAATAAATCCCAAGAAGGTTTCTTGGAGAAGGAAGGGAGGGAGGGAGGGAATATGAGAGGAGAATGAGAGAAATCATTCCTAAAAGAACATTTCAGCATTGATTTTCCTGATTGATAGAGTTTTATTTCATTGCCCTGCTTTTAATAACTATTTTGTGCAAAATTGTATCTGAAAGGAGAGGAGAGAACTTATTTTCTGTGTACTAATCTTCAATTAGTACAATTAGTACAGTTCTGTGGACTAATCTTCAAATATAGCGAGGTGGCTTACAGTCTTCTCTCCTTTCCACTCTGCTACCTGCAGGTATTAATTGAGTGTGGAAAACAACATTTTCTGCTTGCAATTTAAGTGCAGAAAGACAAAAGCAGAAAGGTAGAAAATCACTGTATTCTCTCTCTTAGCACAGAAAGAGCATGGTCCTGAGTTAATTTAAGTAGTCACAGAAATATAACTTCTATTTTAAGCAGGTATTTAAGTCCTGCTGATTCAGTATTCAGCCCAAATGCAAATGGCTTTCATGGAATGAAGCTTGCACTGAACTGGATCCACTTAGTAAAATATTTCAGTCTGCTATTTGAGGGAGAAAAGAAGAATCTGGTCAGCTGTTGGAAATGCCTTTGTAGCACTTCTGCACTGATTGATTGTTCTGTTTTCTAGGGAATTTTTAAGGGGTTTTTTTGTGAGAAAGTACTACTGTGAGATAGAAGGTTTCTCTGGAGAAAAGTTACAGGAGTATATACACATAATTGCCTTTTCTGAAAGTAGCATACGACATAGGATTTCCTCAACTGTACCAGAACTGACATTTACAATTTTGAATTCCAGCTTTCCAAGTATAATTACTGTCCTTGCAAATGTTTTGGTATCAAAGTTGGGACTCACTTTGGGTAAGACAGTCCATAAACTCAGGTTTTTTTCTCATTTAGTACTTCCTTTTACAGTGTTCCAGAGATGACAGCTGTAATATTTAATACTAAGAAATAGTAAATTGAAATAGCATGTTTTAAAGTATTTATTAATTATAAGTTGCTTTCATTTATAATTCACTTTTCTCCTGACATTGTTCTCTTTTTTGCTTAAAGTACCTGTGATTCATATCTTCCATTATAAGAAAACCACAAATAATTTTACATAACTACAGCGTTTGTCTAATCACACACCAAAATAGAAGGTAGAGGATATGAAAATTACTTATGACAGATGAGTCACATTAATATTTTGTTCTAAGCCACAAGAAAAATGAGACAGAAGGGGTGGGAATCAGAACAGATCAAAACCCTTAGTGCTTTCTGATCCAAAACCACAACTAGCTATTGAGGTGCAAAATGTTCTTTTTTAAATAAAGTGTGAGAAAGACACAGAGTTTTGTACTGCAAATGCTGGCAGCACATAATGTTGCAATTATTTTTAATATTTTGAGATGCTTGAATCACAACCAAAACTCTGAGCAACACTGAGGTAAAAGCATTTTTATGCTCCTTCACAGACACACCAAAAAAAAAAAAAAAAAAAAAAAAAACCAACAACAAAAAAAAAAAAAAAAAAAAAAAAAAAAAAAAAAAAAGAGAAAAGAAAAAAAATTGAGTTTGTTGCAGTTGCATCAGAAATGGTGTGCCAAGTTTATACCAGTGAATGAGAGTAACAACAGAAGGCTGGGATGTCATGGCATCCTCTTGCCTATTTTTTTTCCCCAT